GACGACGCGGTATTAAATCAATGCCAATCCATAAATGGCCTACGCGGCGCGTAGATTGAATTGGAATCTCTTGGCGATTTCATTATTCTGCAATAATATCGCGCAAATCGATGCTGGGGTTGGAGGCACTCGCGCGAGTGGCAAACATTTCTGGTTAATTATGAAAGAGAGCTGTTACCCAATGAACGGGGAGCGGGGATGGGATCTAGATTGGAGGACACAGATGCTTGGCTCACTTTCCAATCCGCATATTCCTGCAGGCTTTAAAGTTCTCTTCCATTTAAGTCCTTGAACAAACGAAATAATCCAGAGGATACGACTGTCCTCCCATTTAATCGCTTTGACGTTTCCCCCAATTTGATTCGATTCGATTCTGTTCTGTTCTTTGACGGACGCCAAAAACAAGTGGGTTCGCTGTTTGTTCCGCCTTTTTCTCTGCTGATGGCTGGATGCTTGAACCTTGAGTTGTGGATGGAGTGGACGTGACAGTGCCAAAAGATGATGTCGCTTGTCCAATTCGCGTGCGAACATCCACTCTGACTCCCACGCCCACACATCCTTCACCATTCGGCATTGAGTTCTGCTCTCTCCACCTCCACCACCAATCGGCATCGAGGTTCTCTGTGCTACTCCATCGGGGGCATTGCTTGTCCTCCTTCGGTGGGGGTGGGGTTGGTTCTCCTCCTTCCTGGTCATCCATCGAGCAGCATTCGTGCTCTGCTCCTCCTCCTGCTGACGATGTTTGGTCAATGGTCAATTTGGCAGCCGTTTATTTTGATTGTTGTGCATCCGGGGGCAAGGATAATGGCGTGCAAACGACATGGACCAGAGCCCCATTCCCTCCTCTGCGCTATCGTCACGGAACGCGAGGAGGATGAAGGACCATGCACATAGATGGTGCCATATCCTACTCCTCCTCCGTCTGGTATCCTGCAGCGTCGTCCTCTAGGTCCAGGTCCCGCTTTTCGCATATCTCGAAATGATCATTTTTGCATTTTATTTGTGCACGTCCCGTGTCCCGTGCCCCGTGTCCAGTGTCCAGTCCTGGCTCCCAGTGGTTCTTCCGTTCAGCAAAGCTGCGTCTGCAGGTGTTTGTCCCGAATACGAGTCGAGTTTATGTAATCCCCGGCCACACCACCACCGGAATATTTATCATCGCAACATTTCAGGAAATCGAATTTTTGCTTTCATTTTTGGTGGGGCGGGGGGTGTGTAATCCGGCTCTATTTGAACACTCTTTCGTGGGGGAAGAGGGGGGGTTTGGGGTTTGGAAATCAAATTAAATTTCATTTGTTCCCTGCCCTGCCCTGCCACCCTTCCCGCCTGCCTGCAACAAACACAGAAACATAGAAACGAAACGAACTAATTATGTTGAAATAAATTTAAATGGGGCACAGAGCACCTGACATTTACGACAACATCATAAAATCCGAAACAGAGAGTCCATTCCAGTCGAGTCCCGTCCACTCCAGAGGGGTCAATGATTGGGAAGAAGCTACATTGCTTCTGTTTCTGCTTCTACTGCTGCTGCATTCCTCGTTCAAGCTCAAGTGCCTCGTATAATTGCTGCAGTGTCGTGTCCATCCAGTCCAAGGCGGAAGCGCAGGCACGGGGTGCGCAATGCGCACATCATTAACCTGTGACCCGACCCATACGCTAATTAGACATCAGTGGCCATCCTCTAGGCCTAGGCCTGGGTCTGGGTCTAGGCCTAGGACACGCGTTGCTCAGGTTTACACCTACTACTCTCCCCTCAACGGCAGTGGCAGTGGCAGTGGCAGTGGCAGTGGCAGCGGCAGCTGAATCGTCAGATTGCGGCTGCTCAGTGGGTTGGAAAACTCTGCTTTCGGGACTAGAAATGTTTGTGTTTTGTTTTTTCGTTGGTTTTTTTGGATTGTTTAGAGCGATATCCGATTTCCAGGCATATGCTTCCTCCATTGGCGGCACGCCCCTTCAAAGGCAAGCACTGGCCCTAGTTTCGAACAGCAGTCAAACAATGCGTATGGCTCAAGTGGAAGGAAGCCGCTGTTTGGGACTCTTTTAGGTTTGGTTTTTGCCTCCATTTTTGCCAATCTGCTGCTGCCAAACAATGTGAGGAGTGGCTGTGCTGCTGCTGCTGCTGCTGCTGGAGTGCCTCGCGTGTCATTCCATTTCCGCTTGCCTCAGAAATCGCAAATCAAATACAGAGACGGCGATGGAGATGGAGCGAGCAAGCGACGACGACAGCTGCTCCTTGGGACTGTGCCGTGCCGTGCCTGCTCCTTTGCATACACACATACGCAGGGCAAGCATATCCTTAATCTATATATGGTATGGAATGGAATGGAGTCGCATATAGCTTTTGATTTGCAATACAAAAGCCAACGGGCGGTGCTGCTGTTTTTCTCTGCTCTCCTCTGTTGTGCATTCCAATTCTCAAGACAATAGACGGCGTCAAAGGCCAAAACGTCAAGGTAGTAGAACATTTTCCACTGATTCATGGATTTCTTAATGTCTTGACAGTGCGTACTCGTACTCGTACTCCCTCTCTTCCGCTCCCTCGCTCTCGCTCTTATTTGGATCGGAGTCTCCTCGTGTTCTTATTGTTCTTGACATCGCAAATACAGGAAACTGCTGTTGCTGGGAAAGGTGCAAACGAACTTCCGCTCCAAATCAGTTTTCGATTTGCTTTTTCCCTCTCGCTTGCCGCTGCCTCTTGCCTCTTGCCGCTTGCCGCTTGTCGCCTGTCGCTGTTTTCCATATCCATTTCAGAGCTCTTTTTGGCTTTCAGCTGCTTGTTTGCACTTTTTCCTTTTTGCCATTCGTTTTGTTGCCTTTGTTGCTGCCGCTGGCACGCGCGCGTCCTGCACTTCGGAGGCAGATGTCATCAATCCACAGATGCAAGGTAGATTCGTCTTCGGGCTTAGGGTTTAAGGATGGCGATGGCGATGGCAATGGCGATGGCGATGGCGATGGCCACTAATCAATCATCATCTAGCTGCCCCAAAAAAACGGTAGCGCCAAAGCCAAAGCGGCTGAAAGCCTGATTACCCTGTAATTAGGCAGCAACCTGCCAAAAAAAAAGGCAAATGTGAATTTAATGAGTAAAAATGTGATAATTAGCGGACTTAACCGGACCCCCGACGAGGCCGACAAAGGTCAGAGCCGAGGCGTATCGTCCTCATCCTCACCCTCATCCTCATCCTCTCGTTTCTCATCTCGTTTTATCCCAGGACTAATTACAGGGCCAGGGAGGAGTCCCAGTACCAGTCCGAGTCATTTGGCTAGACGAAAACCCACCAGCAGAGGCACAGGCACAGGCACCTCAGCAGAAGCAGCAGCAACAGCAAGTGCATCCGTTCTGCTGTAATTGCTGATTGCTGTGTTTGCTTAAGATTTAAACAACTGCTTTCGAAGGGGGGACTGCGATGCGATGTGACGCGTTGCGTTACGTTGCGGCCTGCCTGCCCTCCAGCGAAATGCAAATTGAATTAGGCCTTGGCATAATATTGTCATTCAATTAGATGATCCGTTGGCCAGTGGTTGCGCGGGGCTGCTTGCTCGTGCTGTGCCACAAACAACAAACAAATCCATTCCCATTAAATGAGCTTAGTCTTGTGCTCCTCCAGCCTTCAGTCTCCTCTCTTGGCCATGGCCTGAAAGCACAAGAAAAACAAATGCTAATCAAATGGAAGATTTTATGAGCTGCCAAAGGAATGTCACTCAAGAGCCAGATGGATGGGTATGCAGCATCTGCATCTGCTGCTGCATCTGCAGGCGGACATCCCATTCACCCACTTCTACTGCCACTTGTCCAGTGTCCTTGCGGGGACACCTCTCTTGTCCTCCTCCTCCTGCTGCTGCTGCTGCTGCTCCTGCTCCTGCCCGACTTCAGTTTATAAATATTGCTCAACTGCTTGGAATAAAAATGTCAACACGGAGCCAGAACGAGGTACGAAATGCATAATAGAGTGGTATACAATGCTCACCGCTGGCCGACGACGACGCTGCTGCCGCTGCCACTGCTGCCTGGCCACCAACACGGCACCACCGCCGACGGCGGAGATGTCCTTTTTTGCGCATAGCCATGGGCTGACACACACACACACACACACACATGTGTGTGGTAGTGGTGGTGCTGGTGGTGGTGCTGCTGCTGCAACGGACGTAATTCAAAAGAATTTTTCCATGCCTCATAGAGGAGCGCCGCCAACGTTGTAGTCGTTGCTCCCCTCCTCCTCCTCCACCAAAAGGCAATGGGCCATGTTTGACCATGTCCGGGATCCTGGTTCTGGTTCTGGTCCTGTCCTGTCCTGCCCGTGTGTTAAATGTTTTGCGTCAATTTGTCGCTTTATGTTTGCGACGCGACCCAAAAAAAAAAGAAAACACACACACACAGGCCCTGCGGAAAGGAGCAGAACGTGAATGGAGCAGCGTCCACCGTCCACGTACCTGGTGACGTCATGCGGTGACCAGGCAGGCTTCCATTTGCTCTTGGTCTGCGTCTGCCCAGGTAATGACATTATCAGCCGCAGCAAGGACACTGTTCGGTGCCACGTCGGAGTCGGCATCGGCATAGGCAACCCATGGCGCGCAGTGTGCACACGGAGGAGAGGAGTCACTAAACAAACGATAATGTAATGCAATTCTTTCGGCAGCCCAACCCTCCTCCATTTGGCCCTTTTTCCCATGTTGTGTGTGTTTTGATCGCTTGATCTTACCGAAAAAAAAAACACCAAACCCCATTTGTCACTTGGCCACAATGCATCTGGGTGTTCCCATTGTTGACAACACAAATTCGTAAGGCATATTGTTTGTGCAATTGTAACAATTCAATACGAAGAATTTTTATCGGAAGTAAATCGGAGCATTTGATCTTTTTGGCTTCTTTTCTTGTTGTTGCGAAAAATTATAAATAATTGAACGTTACTCAACACTAGCCAGCAAGTGGACGTGGCAGAATGGTGGGAGAAAGAGAAAGAGAGAGAGAGAGGGAGAGCAAAAGAAACTTACGCACGCCGGCGGGAACGATGTCGTGTCTGACGGGACGCTTCCATTCAACACAATAATTTATTAGTTAAGTGTTGAGTGTTAATTGTGATTAAATTATAAATTGTGTTGAATTAGCCATCATGGCCAATTGATTGGAAAGCAGAAAGCAGAGAAAATCCAGCCGGTCTAGGATTTCACCGCGTAAGTGGATCTGTGCTGCGCTGCGTTGCGGTGCGGTACTGGAAGCTCGTGTAGAGTTTAGCATGCATTTCCAGTAATTGGAAGCACACCCACACATCGATACATACATATGTACTGTGCTGCCACCTTTAGCTGTTTACTATGCAAATATTGTGTGTGTTCGTGTGTGTGTGTGTGTGTGCGTGTGTAGAAGCGGGACAAACAGACGTGGAGAGTAAATGGTAGCCGCATGCCGGCCGTCCCCTTCCCCTCCTGCTTTTTGGCTGGTGATTTATCAATTAAATAAAATTTGATAATTACTAGCATTAAGCCGGCAGACTAGCGCTGATTAACCACAAGTAGTAGTGACACTGGCCCGGCCCGCTCTCACACCCACTCTCTCGCCCCCACCCCGCATAGCGGAAGTAACTATTTTGTGAGCGTTCTCTTTTTTTTTTCTTCGGACTTTTTTTTTGCCCTGCGGCTCTGAAAACTTAATTTGTGTCGGTTTTTTCTTGTTTTCCTTTCGTAATCGTGCATTTTAATTGCGTGTAGGCTTCATTTGGATTCCTCTGCAGCCCCCCCCTCCTCCGCCGTGGCAGTTCCACTCGCTTTTAATTAAACACAATACACATTTTCCGCCTTTTGCAGATTTTCGTCTTGTTTCTGTTGTTGTTTTATGAGCCGCCTTAATTGCGTGGCCCGTTTCGCATCTTTGTTAACATCTTAATTACATAATAAAAATTATTTAGTTTTGCGCTAGTCACACACACTGCGCGTAAGCCAAATGCGAATCCAAAGAGTTGTGTGTTCATAATTTTATGGCTCGTTTAGTTTTGGGGTTAAAGATTTATGCTCGCAGATTCGTAGATTCGCAGACTCACAGATTCCCAGACCAGACCCTCAGGCTCTCCAAAAACAAAAAAGAAACCAACAACAACGGAACGAGCAGAGAGAGTGCGTGGTGCTGTGCTTCCTTGTGTGACTGTGTTTCTGTGTTTCTCACTCCAACGCAGCGCATTCCATCAAGTGTGGAGAATAGGAACAACAGTGCTACGTCCCCTCCGAAGATCGGCAAGTCTCTCCCCTGCGTGCTGCTATGTCCATCCCATTCCATCCCATTTCATTGCATCAAAGGTGGCTCCCCTGAGCGCGTGTGTGTGTGCGTGTGTGTGACTATGGCCATCCCACTCCAATGCAATGCATTCACAGTTACAATACCACTGTTATGACAAAACTCTCCTCGGGGGCCACCATGTACTCGAACTTGCGGGTTACCACCCGGAGGAAGCACAGCTTGTCGGTGGGATCAAGGTCCCGGACGGAGCTCTGGGCCAACTTCACAAAACTCGAATTCAAATGCTTAACGATCCCAACCGCCGTGCTGTTGTCGAAGGAGGTCTGCATCAGAGTGTCCGAACCATTCTCAGACACCACATAGCCACTCGTCTGCTCCGAGATGCGCGCCGTATTCTCCGAATTGCTTTGGACGACAGCCGCCAGTTTCTTGAAGTTAGACTTATTCATTGTAGAAAATATACATATCTATATACTGTCGGGGCTGATGTTGAATTGGGGAGCACAGCTTTCTGGGATCACTCTTCTCATCCTTTCCACCCTTTCCGGATCTCTTCCAGATGAGCGGCAAGCGAACGCGCAGCTTCAAATGCGCAGTCCATCATCGGGATCGCGAGGTCTGCTCTGAGAACGACTTTCAGCTGGTGCTGAACGAGCCGCCGCTCTTCAGAAAGATGGTCCATGCCGTCGCGATGGAAATACTCCCCGAGGAGCGGGATCGCAAGTACTACGCGGATCGGTACACCTGCTGTCCGCCGCCCTTCTTCATTATCCTCGTGACAGTCGTTGAGGTACGCTCTAATCCCCTGCTCGCCGAGCCGAAGCTCCGTCTCTAATGATTCTCTCCGTAGCTGGGCTTCTTTGTGTATCACACGATGGTCACGGGAGAGGCCGCGCCGCGAGGGCCCATACCCACCGACTCGATGTTCATCTACCGACCGGACAAGCGGCACGAGATCTGGCGGTTCCTCTGCTACATGGTGCTGCACGCCGGATGGCTGCACTTGGGCTTCAACGTGGCCGTGCAGCTGCTGTTCGGGCTGCCACTGGAGATGGTCCACGGCTCGACGAGGATCGCCTGCATCTACTTCTCGGGCGTGCTGGCCGGCTCGCTGGGCACCAGCATCTTCGACCCGGAGGTGTTCCTGGTGGGCGCCAGTGGCGGTGTCTACGCTCTGCTGGCCGCCCACCTGGCGAATGTCCTGCTCAACTATCACCAGATGCGCTACGGCGTCGTACGGCTGCTGCATATATTAGTTTTCGGTAAGAAACGAAGAGCCAAGCAGCCACAAGGGGAATCACTACAATCTCTTGTCCCGTCTTGCAGTTTCGTTTGATTTTGGTTTCGCCATCTACGCGCGTTATGCTGGCGAGGATGTGCTGCTGTCGAGTGGCGCCGCCGAGGATGTGCAGCAGCACCATGCCGCCACGGAGGCCGCCGTCTCGTTTGTGGCCCATCTGGCGGGCGCCGTCGCGGGCCTCACCATCGGACTGCTGGTGCTGAAGAGCTTCGAGCAGAAGCTGCACGAGAACCTCCTCTGGTGGATCGCCCTCGGCACCTACTCGGCCCTGGTGGTCTTCGCCATTGCCTTCAACATCCTGCACGGCTTCACGTTGTTCAATATGCGCATGGAGAAGGTACGCGTCACGGAGACGTACTTCAACGACTTTCAGGTGTGAGAGGAGGAGAGACATCCTGGACACCCTCCTGCTTTGTTTTTTTTTGTATTCGGTTACATTTTCGGATCGTTTCTGTTCATTTTCGTTCCGTTCCGTTGAAGTTTTTATTGTTTTTTCGGAAGGCGATTAAGTTTGCAGTTTTCTAGTTTTCCAATTTCATTGTTTTGTAATGTGCGTATCTGTACAATCAGGCAGGTTTATCGAGCACTATATCTATATCTACATATATCTAGGGGACAAATCGTGTGTCGTTTAATCCATTATATATTTTGTTCTGTTTTCGGTAGTTAAGTACAAAGCACCGATGCAAAGAGTATCATCAGAGATCATTGAATTAGAGATATTTACAACAAATCGAACTGATTAGGTGTAACATAATGCTCAAGGAATTCGATATATATACACACATATATATATAAATGCAAGACTTTCTAGGGATAAACAATTTAAGCTGAAAGAAAAAAAATACAAAAAATAAATATATATTGCTTTATGCGCTATATGGAAACCGATATTGGCAATGCACTAATTAATCGAAATTCGAACGGGCCTTAAAACACACACACACACATTGAGATGATGATAATTCCTACCTCAAAATAAAAGAGAAAATATATTATGATTGGATTGGATCGGTTTCAATTTGATATAGCCGCCGTGCATTTAATATCGTCACTGCCAGCCAGCTTTTATGGATCAATCGATTTTGCATCAAATATACACCACATTTTGTATTTACAATGTTTGTTGTACTTTGTAAATAAATTGAATAAAGTCGAGAATTATTTTGTTCAATCAATCCAATTTGAATTTGAATTTGAATTGGGCGCCTTCGCACAGGAGCTTAAGGTGTGGTTACACCTGAGTTCGAGGTGTGGTGACACTTGTCGCTAGTCTCCACGATCAGCGGCCATTTTTGGAGAGTTCGTGTTCGTCGGAAAAGTCGCAGTGCGTTGCGCGTCTCGGTTTTTTTTTGTGTTTTCGCGTATTTACTGGTAAAGAACGGCAATTTAGTCATATAATTTAACAGGATGTGACAGCCTGTCGGGGAGCAGTGAAAAAACAACTACATATATCTCCTGACACGTCCCCTGTATGCCTCCAGGAGCAGCCGCCTACAATATTGAATATTGTCTACAAGTCTCCACGATCGGTGGAGTGAGAAAATCGCAGTGTACATCGCGTCGCGGCATTTGTTTTTGTTTTGTTTTTTTACGTATTTAAAGATAAGGAATGGCAAAAGAAAGCACATTCCTTCGGAGGAACAATGACAAAACAACAATTTCTGTTGTCCAAACGTCTCCACGATCAGGCGACATTGTTGGAGAGTTCGTGTTCTGCCAGCAAATGGAAAAGTCGCAGTGCGTATCGCGTGGTCGTTTCTTTCGGGTTTTCGCGCATTTAACGATAAAGAATGGCAATCCATCCTTATCATTTCACGAGTTATGACATATCCTGGCGGGGAGCAGTGAAAAAACTACAATTTCTCTTGACACGCGCACCTGGGCCACGACAATGTCGCCAACAGGAGCCCGCACCCACACAGCGCCCATCCGCCCTTCTCCAAAACAACTTTGGCTTTTTTGCGAGGCTCCGTTTTGCTGTGTTGCGTGTTTGTGACATCTACATTTACGTCCAGGGTGATTCCTTCACATCACCACTCACCCTCCACCGCTCGCCTTCGCCCGCATCCTCAGCGGCAGTGCAGTTAACAAATCCCAATCCCAGCGGAGGGACATGGAATTTATGTTTTATTTGTGGATACGTACACATTTCACCGTTAAGTCATTCGTCAGCGTTGTCACACCTAACGGAAATAAGCAACGGCAAAGGAAAGGAGGCGGATAGGGAGGCGGAAGGAAAAGTGATGAGAAAACAAATGCAAAAGATGGAATAAAATAAGCAACAACTGTGTCCACGCGCCGATTTCCTTTCGGACAAAAGATGCCGCTGCTGCCGCTGCTCTGCTCTGCTCTGACGCTGATTAATGTTGGAAATGTGATAATTTGATGCTGCCAACGCCAGAACAGAACGAAAGGTAGGTGGAGGAGGATTAGCAGTGCTAAATGGGAGGTGGAGAAGTGTCCACTGCGCTGTGGCAGTGGCTGGAATGTATTCCAGGAGTGGAATGCATTTTAAATGAGGGGTAGGGCTGAGAGAGTGGGCTGCATCTCAATTCTCCAAACCACCAAATGCTGCTTCGGGGGGAAGCGAGTGGGTGTGGAGAGACTGGAGACTAAGAGAAGGCAGGGGTGAAGAGAGCGATGTTTAGCGGGAAAAGAGTGGGTGGAAAGGTGGAATTACCGCAAGAGTTTGTGTGGAATGGAAAGGAAGAGAGTGAGTGGAATCTATTCCACGTGGAAGTTCGAGTGAAGAGAGATCCAATAAATGGATCAAGAAGCGTGTCTTTTCTTTCGCCTCAAGTCCCACTAAGTTTTCTCTGGCCTGTGGCTAATACTTGGATTAACCGCCAAGACTCCACTAAGCTGCGTCGTCTAAAGTGGGGATGGGGATGGGGGTCGGGATGGGGGTTGGGGGAACGAATACCAGGCTCTGGAGTACATAAATCATATCAATAGCCGGTCCCGTCCAATCGAGGCTTCGGCTTCGAGTGCAGTTTGGAATTCAACATTGCTGGAAATTCCTGTGTCCGCTTCTGAGTCCCCTCCTGGCCCCGCTCCCCACTCTCCACTCTCTCCGGTGCTGGGGCTGCTGCTGCTGCTGCCCCATCCGATGCGGTGAGCAAACAAACATGTTTATAAAAAGTACAAGTTAATATTTATGTAATTCAAACAGATGCGAATGAACGAACGAGACAAGGAGATCATTACATTGACATATTCAGGCACACACACGCGCGCACACGCGCGGATGTCCATCCGTGAGGCATTCCACAGAAACAATGAGGATGGGAGGAGGGAGCACGCGACCATGTACCGCAGAGCAAGCGAGAGGAGAGAGCAGAGAGCAGAGAGCAGAGAGAGGGACGGACAGACAGTGCGTCCCACGCGACGCAGAAATCAACCTGCAAGAGGACGGGGCCTTTTGTTTTGAGAAGGTGAGGAGGAGCCTGGAGGAGGAGGAGGCTGGAGGCTGGAGGAGGAGGTCGGAGGAATCTCGCATCTCACAGTTGTCGTCGCTCTATCTGCAACATGGACATGGGGATTCGCAGTCGGACTTGGACTCTGACTCTGACTCGGACTCTCTGCCACAGGAATGAATGCTTATCAAAAAGGCGCACTTGTACCTGTCATAAAAGCAACTGAAATATTGGCGTGGCCGACAGAAAGGAGACCCCGAAAAAACCAGAGAATCGGAGAAGCAGCGAAACAGAGAGACCGGGGGACAAGTGCGAGTCCTCGCCCCCCCCCCCCCCCCCCCCCCCCCCCCCTCTCTCTCTGGGTGCCTTTTGCAGTTAATTCTTTTTTAATAAACTGCACAAAAGTCCACTCCAGGTGGACTCCAGACCAACAAAAAACGAGAACAAAGAGAGGGCCAAGGAGGGCCAAGGAGGGCGGCGAGAGGCAGAGAAGAGGAGTGGCGCGCCCCAGGACCTGTGCCGTCTGTCCTGCCAGACCATTTATCTCACTCGACGGCAAATATGGAAATTTGTTGGCCCAGAGTGGGAGGCTCTTGGCGGCTCTCGGCGGCCCTTTGTGCTGCGCGCTTGAACCGCTTCATTAAACACTTGGCGGCCTGGTCTGGGCCCCACTGTGTGGACTCCTGGGCTCCTGGGCTCCTGGGCTCCTCCAAGTGCTCCTCCAAGTGCTCCTTATGTCCTGGCGCTACAATTCCGCTTCTGCGGCTGGGGCAAATGCTTAGAAAAGCAGCGGAATATGAAACTGTCGCAGGACTAATTATAAAGAAGGAAAGAAGGACTAAAAGGAGGAGCAGGAGGAGGAGGAGGAGGAGCAGGGGCAGGAGTGTACTCTGGACAAACAAATTAATGCTGAAACCAGGACAAAAGTCAAAACAGGACAACAAACAAACCAAAAAGCGGGCCAAGAAAGAGGGGGAGAGGGAGGCCGGGAATAAAGCGGCGGATATTCCGAGGGATAATCAGATTCTAACCAAAGCCCTAGTCCTAGTCCTAGTCCTATATTGGGTTACCTACGTGTCCTTTATGGGCCTTTTAGGTTAATTGCCTCCAATGCATTCCCCCTTTCCCCCCATTCAGCTACTCGCCTGCCCCTTCGCCATTAATCTGGTGGTCACATGAGGTCATGGCTTCGTGGCGGCGCTGCCCCCTGCGCCTGGGAGCAGGCCACTCTTCCCGGATGGACGGACACGAAACACGAAATTAGCCCCCCCGTATCCCCATGTATGCAAAGGACCCCAAAAGGATCGGCCGGAGGACACCTGTGCGTGCTTGCCGGCAGTTTCCTCGCGCCTCGCTTCCGTCACAGACAACAAAGGATTCAGACATTCAGACATTCAGACGTTCAGACGTTTTCCATAATTTTCACATGCTCGAAAATCCCTCAAGGCAAAAGGAGTGTGGAAAGCCAGTCCCTGTCCTTGCCGCAAGGCGTGCCTCTTAATTGCCCGTCGACTACCAGGGGCAGGGGCAGGGGCAGGGGCAGAGGCAGGGGTAATGCTATTAAAGGAGAAGCCAGCCAAACGATGACGAAGTCGACGCTGTCGACGAGTGTGCTGTCCCTCCCGCCGTCCCTCCGTCCCTCCGTCCCTCCGTCCGTCTGTCACCTGCTGGGATTTTGTTGTGGCGCGGGATGGGAAGGGGCTGCGGGGATTCAAGGTCGCTTCTGTGGGAACAATTCTCTCATTTCTCTCTGGCCAAAAACTCAGAGACGTCCGATTTTGTTTTACAAAATTTTTGGAAAGTCTCATCACTCAAAAAAAAAAAAAAAAAAATGATTCCAGCTCCGATCGGCGTTGAAGGACCGGGCGGGAGTCCGCTGCCCGAACAGAAGGCAGCGACTGCTCCGCGGCACGGCCCAAAGATGGATCCTTCGCCTTCAGTGCCTGCCCCGAAGGGGAAACGAGTCGCGGCCCCTCCCGCCCCGCCTGCCCCGCGGCCAGTGATCAGGTACTCGCGCTTCCGCGACGAAGCGGAGCTGGCGCACCTGCAGCGCCTCATCGACGGGACCCTCTCCGAGCCGTACACCCTCTACACGTACCGCTACTTCGTCTACAACTGGCCGGAGCTGTGCTTCTTCGCGCGCCACAAGGAGCGCTACGTGGGCGTGGTCGTGGGCAAGGTGGAGGCCTACGACATGGGGATGTTCCAGGGCTACATAGCCATGCTGGCGGTGGACCCGGAGTACCGCCACCAGCACATCGGCCGGACGCTGGTGTGCAAGGCCGTCGCGGCGATGATCGACGAGGACGTCGACGTGGTGATCCTCGAGACGGAGTGCTCGAACGCGGCGGCCCTGGCCCTCTACGAGAGCCTCGGCTTCATCCGGGAGCAGCGCCTCTTCAAGTACTACCTGAACGGGGGCGACGCCTTTCGCCTCAAGCTGGGCCTCAAGGCCGACGTCATGGAGCCGCCGTCGCCGGACTACCACACTGAGGAATGCTGAATATCCTCCTCCTGCCCCCCTCCTCCCATGTCCTCCCATGTCCCCCCATGTCCCCCCATGTACATATATATTGTAAATTAATGTTTTCTGAATGGGAAAACTCCCTTTACTCGGGAGAGGTCCTCCGCCTCTTGGGCAGCCCGAATCCCAGGTAGTTTCCTTATCGAGGCAGGAGTCCCAACAGGAGTCCTGCGGAGCGACCAATAGCCAGGGATAAGTGCCTTTCAGGGTCAGCAGAATCGGAGCGAAAAAGGAAGGAGGAAGGAGGAAGGAGTACTCCCTGCGATAAGGTGGGTTAAGGTCCCTTAGGTGGTGGTCTCTGCTCTGCTCTCGATCTCTCGTGGCTCTCAAAGAGAACTCTCTGTACTTTCAGGTTCTTTGATTGCAACAAAAACCCTGCTTGAAGGACCATTGAACCCCAAGATCGTTGATCTCTGGCGATATCCCCACTCGAGGCATGCTTATAGCTTCCTCAGTTGCCACTGGCTCTGCCACTGCCACAGCCACAGCCACAGCCACAGAAACTGCCGCTTCGCCTTCTTGCGCCAAATGTAAACAAAAAACGATCCAAAGACAACTTTTGGGGCAGGTGGCACGCCAGCAGAGCTCCAGCCTCTCCTCTGAGCTGCAACTGCAGCTTGTGTCCAGATGACATGCAACGTTTGTGGCACAACAAGCGGCGGCAGCACCGGCCTGTTGGCGGCGTTGATTGAGTTGCACCTGCCATTCGCAGAAACAAGCTCAACGAACGAGAAGCAGCAGCAGCAGCAAAAGCAGGAGTCTGCGGTGGCAAGCAGCACACACACGCACGGGGCACACACATACAGTGGAGGCTGTCCCGATGGCCGCGTTATTTATGTGGATTTTTCGGAGCTTTCGCAGCGGAGACGAAGAGCAGGAGGGAGGGAGGGGAGTGCCTGTCTGACCTCGTCGCTCCATCGGCTGTTGCACATCGCATCGGTTGACATTGTGCCTCGCTGCCACAGCGTCTGAATTTCAATTTGATGGCCGCGAGTGTCTACCATAAATCTCGCCAGCCGCCCAGCCGCCCAGCAGCCCAGATGCTGCTCTCTTTGCGGCATAGATCGTCGGAGTGCACTCCGCCCCCGAAAATGGCACTGCCACTTGACTCTGCGTGGCGAAGGGCGGTGGTGGAGGGGGGGAGTGCCTCTGATAATTGTATAATTTAATGTGAAATTAATTGGCAGATGCAATCAGGCGGCACATCGGCAGGGGCAGGGGCATCGGCAGGGGCATCGGCAGGGGCATCGGCAGGGGCAGGGGCAGCGAGAGCGGCATCGGCGTCTCCTTCTCGGATCTCGGGGCAGGGAGGAGGGGAGTGCCTTGTTATACGCTTCTTTGATTATTCACAATTATTAATTATGCATTTATTTGCTTGTTGCTTGTTTGTGGACTTCCTTTTGCTTCCTTCCGTCCAAGGATTCCCTCAAGTGGAATGCCGAAGGGGCGCGAGGGGCGCGAGGGGGCCACAATCCTCGGGGAAGATGGAATTATGCGTTCTTTTTGGTGCTTAATATTTTCTAAGGTGATATTTATCGACTGCTGTCGCCCCACTGTTGGCCGCCCTGTGCCCCCTCCTGTGCCCCTCTGTTCTTCGGAATTCCATTAGTAATAGCCGTAATATGGGGCAAGTATTGATTTAGGGGGAGGGCTCCCCTCATCAGAGCCAGAGCCACCCTTCTGCTTCGATGGAAAAAGCTCTTGAGACTGAAAGATACTTCGGCTGAGGAATATTTTTGGATGCCTGGAAACTGGGGATGCATTTCCTGGGATGGATGGATCTGGGGTGTATCTACGGCTTCTTGGGCGCCACCATACGACCTCCCTTGGCACCGCCTACAGGGTATCTGGAAAGCTGTGCGCAGTGGGTGGGGGGTGGCGGGTGTGGGGTCTTAATTAAGGATTTTCTTGGGGGCTTTAGTTGCAATTATTCACTCGCCGAATGACACGAGAGAAGTTCTCCGGAGAAGTGCCCACATTTATGCAATTTTTGTTGATATAAAACAAAGGCAAAGGCAAGAACAAAAATGGAACAAATATCGATTGCTGTGGAGTGCCACTCCCCCTGGCACTCCCCCCTATCCACCTCTCCGGGCTCGTCTCCGCCCTGGAGATGTGTCTGCTTGCCGGAATGCGAGAAAAATGCGAGAGACCATCGAGGAATTTCATTTCTAATTTAGACATTTATTTTTGTTCAATTTTAGTCGTTTATTTATTTATGATTTTTCGTTTCGTTACGTTCTCTTTTTGTTTTCTTTTGGATTTTTGCATATTTGCTATTTGCTATTCGCTATTCGCTATTTGCTATTTGATTTCTCTCCGTGTCCGTGTGTCCTTTGGGGGCGTATCGGGTATAAGGGGTGGTAGGGGGGTGTATTTTTGTGGTTTTTCCATTACATTGAAAATTGAATATAGAGTATGCTACGGCTACGGCTATGGCTATGGCTATGGCTAGGGGGGAGGGGGTCTATGGGGGGTCGCCCTTTCTATAGTTTTTGGCTTACGCTTCTGCTGGCTGACTTTTCCAGGCCAGGGATTATCTGTGTATCCTCGTATTCGGGATATCTATTCGGGATACACGGGGAGTACGATGGAGTATCTTGCGAGTGTCCTTAGGTGTATCTATCTATCTTTATGTGTTTATCCTTCGATTAAAACCCTTTTCAAACTGAAATCAAAATGCAAAAAATTTAAATAAAATAAAACAATATATTTGCATATATATTTTGTTGTTGTTTTTGTTGTTGATAATTGTTGTATTTTCTTTGGCTTTTCATCGTGTCGTCTGTGTGTGTTTTTCTCTTTACATTTTGTTGTTGTTTTTGTTTTTGTTGTGTGTGTTTTTTCGTGCTTTTTTCCACTAAATTATTAAATAATTAAATAAATAAATTGACAAAAAAAATGAAGGAAATAAATATATATATATATAAATTAGTAATACTTTTTTTGTGTGTGTGTGTGTGTGTGTGTATTGTATGTATCTCTCTCTCTCTCTGGGGGGAGGGGCGATTACTTAGGGATAAATATTTTGTGAATTTTCTTGAGTTTTCCCCTACCATATCTTGTATCTATCTATCTTTTATCGTTTATCTTTTATCTTGTATCTTGTATCTGGTATCTTGTATCTTCTATCTTCTGCTTTGACTAGTGTGCGGACTTAATAGTATTTACAATTTGTTACGTGATTTCTTTTCTATATATTCCTAGAGCTCCCTACGGCCCCTCGCTGCTGCTTCATTAATTGAAAAAAAAATCCTAAATTATAGTAGAATTAAATGTATGCCCTGGGTGGTGGCTGGGGGGTTGCTTGGGGGGCGGGAGGGGAGGGGGCTAGGGCCAATAAATACATAATTTAGAACAACCATTTAAGCGAAGAAACAAAGCAAAACAAGAACAAAACAAGAGCGAAAAAAATGGAAATATAAATGGAAATACATTTTCCATTCCATTTCATTTCATTCCATTTATTTTTTGATAATTGCTTTATAGCGCGCTGCTGGGATTTTCCTCTTGTTTTTCCTGGTTTTCTTCTGCTTCTGCTTCTTCTTCTCCTTCTTTTGTTTTAGTTTTTTGTTATTTTTTTACACGCGAAAAAAAAAATTCAGTCTTTGGTTCTATCACAACATTTTGTTTACACGTTTTTCGGCTTTCGGTTTTTCGGTTTTCGGTTTTTTACTTCTTGCATTTTTATTTTTGATTTTTGATTTTTATTTCTCTTTTGTTGTTCATTTTTTGTCTGTTTTTTCTGTTGCTTTTTGTATGAAAATGAAACGCGCAAAACGGTAACTAGAAAACGATAACGATAACGATAACTGCGAATCGATAGCAAATCGAAACGAAAGAAAACAAATACGAAACGCGGCAAAATTGCAAAATTCAAACGAATTTCGGATTTAGTTTTGAACTAAAAAATCGTTTGCTCTCTCTTTGCTCTCTCTTCTCATTCTCATTCTCCTTCTCCTCCTCCTTCTCTTTCGTGCTCTTTCGTTTCGTTTCGTTTCGTCTATAGATCTCTCTGCTAAGGACCCGCCGATGGGCCCCAACTGGAGTCCAATGAGCCGGTGAGGAGCGCTTAGGACACACCCAAGTCGTGCAGCAGGTGCTGTGTGATGACCTCCCCCTGCTCCTCCATCAGCTGGGCGGTGACGGTGTTGATCAGGTTGAAGACGATCGCGAAGACGGTGAAGGCGCAGTAGACGCCGAGGGCCAGCCACCAGATGAGCTGCTCGTACTCGCGGTGCCCGAAGTTCTTGAGCACCAGGAAGCCGATGGTGAGGCCCGCCAGGGCGCCCGTCAGGTGGGCGATGTACGAGACCTGCGGCCCCTTGGCGAAGGCCGAGGAGGCGGCCTCCCCGCTGCCGCTGCCGCCGTCGAAGTACTGCGTGTAGAGAGCGTAGCCCAGGTCGCAGGACACTAAAGGAGACACACAAGGAGAGAGCAGAGGGTTTCTCGGTTAGTCAAGGCCGGTGCAGAGGGGGCTGTAGGGGGGTGCAGAGGGGGCGTGGGCGCTCTCAACTTACCGAAAATAACCACCGAGCCGAGCTGCGTGGACGCGGACTTCATGTGCGCGTAGTTGAGGGTGATGTTGGCCAAGTGGGCGGCCAGGAGGGCGTAGACGCCGCCGCTGGCGCCCACCAGGAACACCTCCGAGTCGACGACGCTCGTCCCGAGGGAGCCCGCGAAGACGCCGGCCAGGTAGATGACGCCGATGCGGCCCGTGCCGTGCATCACCTCCAGGGGAATGCCGAAGAACAGCTGGATGATGATGTTGAAGCCCAGGTGGAACCAGTTGGCGTGCAGGAACATGTAGCTGAAGAAGCGCCACACCTGGAGCCGCCGGTCGGGCCGGTACACCAGCACCGAGTCGCTCGGTATCGGCACGGGCAGCCCGAAGTTCTGTGCGGGCATCGTGTAGCGATCGTAGGCGAAGATGGCAATCTGCAGGACGCAAAAAGGATACGGAATCGAAAAGGGGGGGTTAAGTAGGTTTCAACAGCGAGGGGGGGTTTCTGATTTATGTATTGGTTCTTGGCGCTGTCTGGCACGCGATGGTGTCCCCCGAAAACCGAAAACCCAACGAATGCCCCGTACTTTTTGGCATTTGTTCAAGCAACAACATATCATATGCCCCATGGGGCAGGACTCTCCCTCTCCATCTCTCCCTCTCCCTCTCTTTGGCTTTAGTTTCTAGCCAAATAATTTCCACAATTTCCCCTCTCTCTCTCTCTGTTGTTTGTTGTTCGAGTTGTTTACAATCGATTTTCGGGGGAGGCGCCACAAAGTCAGACACACAGACAGGCCGGAGGGGGCGCGGCGGCGGGGGTGGGGGGGAAGGAAAACTTCCGCTCTCTTTTGGCTGGCTCTTTTTGAAACATTTCCTATTGCCATTTCGTTGAAAGTTTGGGGCTATTTCGAAAGTTTTATTCGTCGGGCATTGATTCGTAATAATCATAAATACCCAAGGGGGCGGGGGGACACCCAAGGGAGGGGGGGACACCCAAGGGGGTGGAGTACTCACCTCAATGATGGAGATTATGAGGATGAACCAGGGCCAGTGCTTGCGGTGCTCGTACTTCAGCAGCCCCATCTCGTCCGCGGACGCCTCCAGGGGCGTGGCAGCGGCGGGGCAGGACATGGGCAGGGACATGGCGAGGGCCTCGCGCTGCATGTAGATGTGCTCGCCCTGTCGCGTGCAGCAGGTGCTGCTGGCCGTGCTGCAGTCCGTGTCGTAGGAGGAGGACGCCGACGTCGACGTCGACGCCGACGAGGCAGCGCCACTGGGAATGTCAATGATGGTCTCCACCTTTGCGGCAGTGCCTGTGGCAGTGGCTGTGGCTGTGGCATCTGCCACTTGCATTTTGGTTTCTGTTGTGCTTTCCATTTTTCTGGAGTCCAAGATTTTTCACTTCTGCAACAACAAAAAACACGACATAAAGTTTATAATTAATTAACGTGAACCACAGAAACACACAATAAACAATAAACAAATCAATTAAGTGCATAAATTATTCATTCTCCCTCTCCCTCTCTCTGTCTCTCTCTCGCGTTGCAACACTCTTTTTGGGGGGGGGGAGCCCCAAGAATTTCCTTGGGGAGATTTTCGTTGTGCTTTTTTTATGGTTTTGAGACTTTATCCACTTCCTGGTTTTCCCTCGGAAAAACTGGGTCACCAGTAACATCTCTCCCTCTCCCTCTCTCTACCCCTCTCTGTCTTTCTTGCTCATAAAATTTGATGGGCCTTTTGGAAAAGAAAAAAGTTTTTCTTTTCTTTTCTTGTCTCTTGGGGGGTTTTTTCTTCTTTTGGGGGGCTTGTCTCTCCCTCTCTCGCTCTCTCTCACTCTCTCTGTCTCTGTCTCCCTCTAAAATTAGCCATGAAGCATAGTCAAAGTTTTTCCCAGCCTGATTGTTGGGGAGTGTGGCATGGCCTTCGTTTCGCTATTTATGTAACGTTTTTGTTGCTGTTGTTTTTAACTGCATTTTCTGCTGCGATGCCTTCAGCCTCTGCATCGCTCCGCCGTTGCCTAATGGCCAACTAATCAGCTAATGGTCGGGGCATTAGGCGCATTATTGTACGGAGTAATTTGCAATGACAACGAAACGAAAAGACAACATTTTTCAAACAAAATTATGTTAATCGCATTCGATTCAATTACACACGGAGCCAGCGGCAGAGCCAGCGACAGCGACAGAGCCGACATTCGACATTCAGTGTCGCTAATGATCGACCAACAAAAGGAAAAAAAAAAGCTTCTTTAATTCTGTTTTTGTGAGCAACAATTGTGCTGTGCAGACAGACACTCGAATCGAAAGCGAATCAAAAGTCATATCAAACAATTTCCATTGGGTTTTGCCTCTGCCGCTGCCGCTACCTCTGCCTCTGCCTTGCACAACACTCAATGAAAAGCCGCAGTCGCAGTCGCAGTCGCGCCAACGCGTCTTTGGCGCTGGCACTTCCTCTGCAGCGGCAGCGGCGCCTACGCCAACAAAAAATGAGACTCAAGACTGGCTTTTGCTGGGGTCTGACTCCATGTGGATCGTGGATCGTGGATCGGGGAACGTGGGTTTTGCCGCAAATTCCTTTATCCGCACTATTCCCTTTCATAATTGTCATATTTCTGTCGAGTAGAAGGGTATCCCAAGTACAACTACTACTCTCTCGCTCTCTTTCTCCGCTTCGAAGTTGCGTCTGAGGTCTGTCTGCTGTGACGCCGCCTGCCTGCAGTCGAACGCATTGGTATGGCCATTGGCTGCTGTCTGCTGTCTGTTGTCTGGTATTATTGTAATTATGTCTGAGTTCGACCCACACCTGCACAGGCGGAAAGGAGTGAGGAGTACGGCATGTGGTGTGTGGTGTGGTGTGGTGTGTGTGTGGGAGCACCAACAACTGACCGAAAAAACCCCTACTACCGCTTCTACTGCTTCCCTCCCCTTCGGCTAAGTCCGAGGTTCGTTTCGTTTCGTTCTTTTTGGTTTGGCTTGGGCTTCGGGCTTCGCGGCTTCGGACTTCGTTCGTTTGTTTTCGTTGCCTAGCAATTTCAATAAAACACGAAATCGCAGCAGTCTTTCGCTCTGCGCCTCTTGTTTATTAATTAATTTATTTATTAATTTTAATTATGGCATTTTTACAATTTTGCGCAAGATGGCATGCTGCTTGCTGCTTGCTGCTGTCTGCTGTCTGCACTGAATGCCCAGGAGAGCATGAATGAACATGAACCGCATGCATGAGTGCTGCAGCCGAAATGCACAAGATATCTGTCCGTCCGTCTATCTGTCTATCTGTCTATCTGCCTGTCTATGGATTTCGAAAGATACAATTAATTCCAACTCTCGAATGGAATGTCCATCCCAGAACTTCACATAGTTTTTGCCCGCCTGTCGCCGAGTGCAATTTGCATTTTGCATTCCACTGGCACCCCTAAAAAACAACAACAACTGGGAAACCATCGTAGTAATGGTACTTGCAACCGGGTTGAACAAACTCATTACGCGGCATGCCTTGTCCCCCCCTCCCCCTCCACCTCTCTGTTATTCCCTTTTTGCGACAATTTCTATTGGGGGTTTTTGCCCCTGTTGTTGTTTTGTTGCAGTCATTAAGGTCGTGGCCTTTTGCTTACCTTATGTTTTGTTTTTTTTTCCGCTGCTGCTGCTGCTTCTGCTCTGGATCTCTTCTTTTTTTTTTATCCAAAATGCGTTTTTAATCCAAATGTTAGTTCTTAGTTCTTGTTTGTTTTTTTTAGTTTCTTGCACTTTTGCTGGCTGCTGCTGCGGCTGCGGCTGCAACTACTCGATGCTGCTGATTGTTGTTGTCTTTCACTTGATGTTCGATTTTTGATATCTTGAACTTTGTTTTAACGCTCACAAAATTCATTTTCGGAGCATTGAGCGAATATCAAATAATTTGTTGTGACTCGAACACACCCACACACACAGAGAACGAACGACAAAAAAATATGAATCCAAACGGTCGACAATTTGAATATTTTGCTGCTGCTTTCGGGCTATCGGTGCTCGGGGCTCGGTTTCTCGAAATCTCACGCCAACGCAGCCTTCGCTTTGCTACGTTTCTCTCACACGTTTACTCTTTAGTTTCTTATTTTTGGGTTTGGATTTTTTGCGGCGGAATGACGGCCTCAGTGCCTGCCACCGGCCTTATATAGTGCCCGACCCGTCGGCCGCTCGAGCCCTCGAACATGTTGTGTTTTTGTTTGGCCGTATAAGAGTGGGCTCTCTCTTTGTCGCTCTTTGTCGCTCGCTCGGCGGGCCTTCGAACATTTCGTATAAGTTGCCGGCCCGAACACGTTCGATGCAGCGCGAACACGCTCTCTCTCCGCGGGGGAGGGGGCTCGAGCGTTGGTTCTACCGATGGCCTGCAGGCAGGAATGGCCCGCAGCGAATGGATGGATTAGTCAATCCGAATTGACAATCAATGATTGACTCATTCCCGTATTGCCAATGCCGCCTCTCTTTGTGCTTTGTATCCAGACCGGAGCCCCACTTCTTGGGCGATCGCTTGCGAAAGCACGAGTCCAAGGCCGTTGGGCGAGTGGAGTGATGACTTTCGGGGCGATGATGATCGAAACTGGGCTGATTTGGGAGAGGCCGATGAGGAATACCCCCTCCCTTTTAGGGTGCTCTAGGGGGAACGCTGATGAATGCCCATTAAAACTGATTTCGGGGGGAATAACCATCAAAACTGTGCCCGTTCTACGGGTGGAAATGGTCTCGTCTTGGTCTAAGAAATCTACTGTAGAATCGAGTAAGCGAATATAATTCCGAGTCGAATCATGACCCTCTACCCTCTACCCCTGGAACGTGCCACAGCAGCAGTAGCCGGAGGGAGGGGAAGGGGGAGCATGGAGGGTTAGAAATGCAAAACCAGAATCATCTTTAGCAATGCAGAACATGTCCCCGAATCCGAATCCGAAACCGAATCCTCGATTCTCGATTCGTTCTCTTGTGATTCCCGGTAACAGATCATTGCCTTCCAAGGGGTTTGAAATTTCACACCTTTTTTGGGAGAGAGAGAAAGAGAGAGGGAGAGAGAGGGAGAGAGAGATAAAAATCGGTAGCAAAAATAAATATTTATACAAATTATTAGGCACCTCTCTCTGTGGCATGATCCCTGGGGCAGAGCGAGAGGGAGAGAGACTAAGTCCATTCGCGGGAAAGGTCACGGAATGTTGCACAAAAGGAGTACGGGGCTCTGCGGTGCTCTGCGGGGCAGGATCTCTAGCCGGGCTACGTGGTTACGTGTTTTGCATGTTAATCGGGGAATTTACACAGATTTTGATAGATAATACAAACACACGGCCACGCACACATCTAGGATGCCAGTCATCATCCTTCGACCCACGACCCACGACCTACGACCTACGACCTACGACCCACGACCTCCTTTGGGATGGATAGTTTTCTCCCGCGCACACACACAGCGAAGAACTGAGATTTATGATGACTTTTTAACATGTGCAACATGCAACAGGTAAGACACAGATACACAGATACACGCTGCTACCATGACCAGGCACATCATCAGACATCAGACTCTAGATTCCGTCCTCTCTCCCGCTCTCGCTCTCTCCCTTGCTCCCTCCCCATCGTAAATCCTTTTTTCCCACGTTTCCTCACACGTTCTTCTGGTCTTCTTGTGCCCCGTTCATTGTGGCAGACACGCATCACACAAAAAACAGTGGACCCAAGGCAGGGCTCTCCCTGCGTCACTGTCCCTCCTTCTATTGCCATCTCCCTGTCAAGGTCAATCACAGGTACTGCCTGCCTTTGTGGGCCGCTGTGGGCGTGGGAGGACACTCGATGATTCCTTTGCCTTAAAACCGCGCGCACTCGCGGGAAATTCCTCCATCAACATGTGCGAAACACATGTGGGCCAGGTCGGGACGGACACGGTCGTTTCTGGCCAGGAATTTCCGCCACTTGTGTTTCCCACACAGCAAGGTGCCCCTGCCCCTGCCCCTGCCCCTGCTACTGCCGCCGCCTCATCCTCATCCTCAGCCGCGTCCGCGTCTTTTCCGCTTTTCCCAGAGTTTCATTTGTGTGACTTTTTGTCCGCTCTGCTCGGCTCTGCTCTGCCCTGCTCTGCCCTGTCCAAAAGTGTCCTGCACTTGTCCGCAAGCTACGCCAAGCCTCGAGCACTGCTGTGTGTGTGTGTGGTGTGTGTTTTCCCAGTCCAGGGATCTGCGGGATCTGGGATCTGTTTCGTTAGGGGCGCGTCTGTAGAGCAGCTTCCTGGAACGGAGGAAACCCCTGGATGGAAGGTCCCCCGAGAGTTTCTTCGGTGGAAAGACCGCCCGAAGACGAAAACTTGAGATGAAACTTGAAGGAAATCCAACCCACACTGGAAGGGAGATCCCCTGCTCACCCCCTTCCACCCTGCTCAAGTGAAAATGCAAATTTTCCTTATGGCTGAGAGGCCAGCGGAGGGCAGGGACACGGACGGCGACGGGGACAGGACTTTGACGGCCAATTGTGAGTCGCGTGGATGGAAATTGGAAATTGAAAAATTGATTGAAGAATGGAATCCTAAAGGCGAGGGCGAATCCGAACGCCACTGGATGGAAGGCCAATAATAATGGACAAGTAATGAGAGTGTCCGCCACAGAAGCCGCAGAGGGGCAGGGGCAGCAGCAGGGGGAGGGGGAGGAGGCCACATTGTGGGAGGCATTGCGCCGCAGAAGCCAAGGAATTTTGTCGAAATTTATCTATTGGATTAGGGTCCTTTTTTTCGCTCTCCCTCTGTAAGTGTGTGTGTGTGTGTGTGTGTGTGTGTGTGTGGACGGAGGTCATTATGGCCAATGCCAAAGACAAATTGGAAATTTATTGTTATTTGAAAGGGAAAAGGAAGGGAAAGGGAAGGACGGAAGGAAGGAAGGAAGGAAGGAAGGAAGGATGGAAGGCAGCGTGGTAGTGCTTGAAGGAAGGATAACAGTCCAGCGAATATGCATAATAAAAATGTCAATCAATGGACTGCAACGAGAACCGTCGGAAGGGAGGGGTAGGGAGGGGGAGGCAGTCCTGGATGTACAGGACAGGACTCTGTGGCTGGGGATTCATTTCTGGGACGATAATTGAACATAAACATTGCATTCAAGTAGTAATTGTTGAAATTGTGGAAATTGTGGAAATTATTGTGCATCCTAATCCCCCAACAAACCCGGAAAAACTCGGAAAAACCATCTCGGACATTGGGCATTCGGCATTGGGCATTCTGTGGGATTCGATTCTGTGGCTGCCACACAAAAACTCCGCTCGAAAAGGACATTCTTCGGCTTGGACCTGGTTCCCATGGCCATGTCCCACTTTTCGACTGAGAGACTGGACCATTGTTTCAAGGCAGCAAAAGGACAATTAAAGGAGCAAAAGCAAAAGCAAAAGCAACAACACAAAAGCCAAAAGGAATCCCAAATGGACAAATGGCCAGAAATGGCCACAAATCCAAATTGGCTCTGACTTTTGTGGCAGAGAAGTAAGTCATCAGAAATGAATGAATAAATAAACAGATAGATTGATAGATCTCCTCCCCGACTGAAGGAGTCCCGAAACAGAATCCTGAATCAACATGGATCGGAATCAAAGAAAGAAGGAAGGGTGATTCCCCCTTCCCTATGGGCTACGGGGGGGATATGGAAAGGTTTAAGGGCCATCAAGTATGCCAATATTCAGAGCATTTCCCTTTGATTCTTTGAGGCATATAACAGAAAATCTTCAATAAATACCTTTACAGAATATAATATTAATTCTGCAGGAAAAATTCGAACTTTTTCATCGATTCTTTGATGGAATTTGATGGAATTTCCCCCTAAATGGAAGGCTTTTGTTCATGGAAACTCTTAAAAAATAATAAAATACCATAACAAAATATACAAATATTACATATGTATAAATTACATATACATATAAAAAATTATGATAGAAAATAATACAAAACTTTAATAATAAATTAGTAAAAAAAATTTAAAAAGTCCATGAGAATCCTTGAAAAAGACTGCAAACCATAAGCATTCCATGACCATTCCAATCCTTTGGATCCTTTGACTCGAAATTCGATGAAAAATTAAAAAAAACGAGGGGGAACGTTGTGAGTTGCTGCGGACACCGCAACTCTACGGTTATACCCGATACTAAGTCAGTATGGCTCTCCTCCGGCAGACGCCGCTAATATTAAACGACACGACAAAGAGTGCGTGCGAGAGAGACAGAAAATCAGTCTGAGCGTGACGTCGGGCGCTGCGTAGCCACTGCAAATTGATTTGTTCCTTTTGGCTATAAAAATGATCTGATCTGATCCAGATTCAGCAATCTAATAGATATGGTCATTATCTATGATTCTGCGTTTTTAGTTTTCTCAAATCTGCAATATTGTGGATGCAACAGATTTTCGTCCTTTGTGGGGGCGGATGGGGGTGGGGCGAAATTCTGAGATATACGTTTTATAGTGACATCTTAAAGGAGTGTGTGCACCAAATTTGGTTACTCTAGCCTTAATAGTCTCTGAGATTTGTGGTTGCCTCAGATTTTCGTCCTTTGCGGGGGCGGAAGGGGGTGTGGCGAAATTTGGACAGGAAACGGTCAAGGTCCGATATCACAGGAGTGTGGATACCAAATTTGGTTGCTTTGGC